ATTTGCGCTGCTCATAAACATTCTTCGAGGCCTACAAAATGGGTAGAAAATCTATAAAACATTTTCGCTAGCCATCTTTATAGCCACGTCCAAGCCAGCTGCCCAGTGGCAATCGGCTGGATTTAATGCTCATTGCTCCATTATAAAATCATCATTAAAGCAGCTCAGACAATTGATTGATATATGGCGCCTGGGATTTCAAAAGGACTTGGAGCTCAACTGTGGGCTAGTTCGGCAAATGACTTCATTACTGTGTGGGCAAGTCGGGCAAATTGTCGAAAATTGCAGCTACATCTGCTGCTCACTTCAGGGGAACTACCCTCGAGTTATAAGACCAGCCCCTCGGCACAAAAGTATCAGGTAACATATTTTAATCAAAGCTATGCTAAATATGCTCGCTTTAATTATAAAAAGAAAAAAACGAAGGAAAAACTGTTAGAATTTGTAGAAAAAATGTCCACTAAAAGGTATCTGCTTACACATAAACATAAAGTCTATGATTGATGCGCTGACAGCTAAGAAATCAAAGGAAAAAGTGTTCATAAAAACGAGAGAAATTGAAAGTTTTCCAAGGCCTCAGGTTTTTCCAACCACCCTTTGCGTGAAAATTGCTCTTGCATCTGCCCAACATTCTACATTCCGCATAGTCTATGCAAATCAGTTCTAACCGTCATCTTCCATCAGTCTTGCAATTTGAGTAAGCGAGTGACATAATTCCCGACACCGAGACGAACTTTGATTGATATGTGCGTGTCCGTTGCGATCAGTGAAAGTTTCTCTTCCAGATGCGACAGCCATGGCGAATTCTCAGACTGGTTGCGATTCTCTCTGTTCACTCTCACTCGCACTCACTCAGTCTCTCTGTCTCCCTGCCGCCTCTTTAAAGTGTCAAAAATGGGGTTTTGGGATTGATCACTTGAACAGCGTTCTTAACATGATGTAGAGCGTGATTTTCTTTCATTTTCATTTTTTGCATAATTTAGTCGAGGTTTACACGAGTTTTACAAGGGATAAACCGACGCGACGGCTTGCCAAGTCAGGGAAAGTGATGGGAAAACTTTTGACGAGTCTCTGAAAGAGCTCAACTGACATTTTATGATGTGTTTAGCCATGAGTTAGGCCTTTGAAAAGAATACAGATTATTATTACTTTAAATATATATAGATGTGTGCAAGACAGAGACTTCGCTGTATATGTTTAGTCTTGGATTGCGCGCAGGACAAGCTACAGTTTGCAGATCATTCTATAAACTCTTTTGATTCATGTCTTGAAAAAGTTGTTTATGATAAAGTTTTATTTTTTGTAGTTTTATTTATTATAAAGTTTTATTTATTAAATATATATTATAAAGTTTTATTTATAATAGTTTTATTTATTGTAAAGTTTTATTTATTATAAAGTTTTATTTCATTAAATTTAAGCAGTCTGTGTTTGACTTGATGTGCAGAGAGTCAACTGTTCAGTGTCCTTAGAAAAGAAATTGGCTTTTAAAAACAAACCTTGACAATTGTAGTTGAATGACAATCTTCCTCGCCCTCAGACTCATCAACTGCCTGACCATTAAACCATGACCAAAATGTGTCTTTCACCTTTCACTTTCCAGCCATAAGCCACATACTCGACCAGCACAAAGTGCGCTGACCCACAAGACGCAAATATGCGGATTATGCAAACCAAATGTCATTAGTCAATGTAGGATCAATGGACCCATATTTGAACTCTGACCAGAAATGCGTTAAGTGGACAAAATGCCAGCAGAAATGATGCCAATTTCTGCAGATTTTAGCCCGAAAAAAATAAAGAAAAAACCGCAATATGTGTACACAGCTTAGCACAACCCTCGGAGCGCTAGGAGAAAGGTAAGAAAGTTGATACCTGGCTAGGTCGGAGCACCCTCGATTGCAATATTTCGCATCGATTGGAGGTAAAACGTTCGCGAGAGCTACCCCCAAACTATTGGACGACATAAACAATCTCATTGTGCGCACTCGAGCCAAATGATGTGTGAGATATCAATTGTCAAATTGACAATAGAAATTGACAGATCGGTATCTGTAACGTTGCTATAGATGAAGCTGCTGCTCACACCGTAATAAAATTAGAAGTTTATTGATTTGTCTTGACACATTCGCAGAGCCAAAAATGAAAGGGACTGGGAAGACGCTGGGCAAATGCTGAGATTGATGCATCGTTTGCTACTTTCCAGGCATATTATCAATGGGTGTGCCACTCCTGCTGCCGTCTTACCCCTTGCTGATTTCTCGTTGTTCTATAAAAATTATATGCAATTATTAGCGAAAGCAAAGCATCACATATATATATATATATATATATATATACAGATGCTGCCGCTGAGTTGTCATAAAGTGCGCAACTTTATGAGGCACTGTAAATATTTTGATGGCGAGCGCTAAAATTTTCGTCGGACTTCCGCTGACGTTAGCCAATTTTTCAGCTTCCACGCCCAGCCCTCATACATACTCATCGCCATGATGAGGTTGTTTCTTCATTTCCGCACTGACGGACTGACAAATGAAGCAGCGCTTCCGCTTCAAGCACTTTTTAGACTACGCCCCAATTCCAACTTTCGATTTCAATAAAAACAGTAAAATAACTATAATTAATGACATGACTTGCTGCTTCCTTTTGAAGTAGTGGTTCCTTGTCGAGTTTTAAATTTGTACTAATTATTATTAATGCTTTTTCTATAAGCGATGCTTCTTAACGGCTCTCGATGATGCCTTACATTTTGGAACTGTTTCTGGGTCTGTTTTGTGGCATTGCCTGCGGGCTATAGCAGCAAAACTTGGAATTGTGGGTCAGTAGAGTTCCATAAAGACGTCTCTAAATTGAGATGATGAACGGAACGCAGCATGTGAGACTTTTCAGGAAATGTGTAGTCTAAAGAAGATATATTATAGACTCTGAATACATAAGAAAAGCAAAGTCTATAAAGTCTTTCGTCTTAGTGCTAACTTGTATAACTCTGCTAAAGATCAGAAATTCTTTACGTTTATAAAGTTATAGAAATGCATTAAAAAGTGGAATGAAGTGAAAGGTCCATCAATTTGTAATTCTTATGCTGTCTTCTCTTGCCGACAATGTTAGATATCTTGTCATAGGATGCTGCTATATCAATCTTGTTATGTCAGCATCAGCTGCCACTACTACTACTACTACATTCTATATTTAATGATATATATACTGATTATGATATATATAATATAAGCAAGCAAGTCTCTGCTGCCTTCCAAATTTTCTATTATAATAACATATATATATCCAATTAAAGCGAATATCGGTTCGTCCTTTGGCAGCTGTGACTTCTTGCTTAGCTTTTAACTCTCAGCTCTCGCGTAACTCAAACTCAACAGCCTCAGCACAATCGACACATAATCTTGAGCTAACAGAACCTGTCAGCTCGCAGTTACCAGCTAAGCATATCGAAGCAGGCGTCAGCTAAGAGCTCCGGCTGCCTGTGTGCTTATTATGCAGCCTACCCGCCCACTTGGGTACAGCTCTTTTAATTTAATAAAAAGCTCACAGCGTCAAGGATGCGTCTTTCAGCAGAGCTACCAAAGTTGCGTCGTCGTCGTATCAGTCATCACTTGTTAATCCGAGTTAAACGTTTCGGCGGATATTATACAGCACACATACATATATATCTGTATAATTTATATATATTCTTTTTTGGCCAGCAGCTGAATTCAAACTACTCGCAAACTGGCTGGCTGGCTGGCTGGCTGGCTGGTAGCAGGAAGCCAAACGACGCTGGCAGCAGGATATTAACAAGGTAAAGTTGAAGGCGCCGCGGCAGTGGGAGTACAAAAGCGTAATGTATATTAAATGCACTCAAGAAGATTCAATTCATATTTCAGAACGTTTTGCTTTCATTAGGCGGCCAACAAAAGCAGAGGACGAAGGCGTTCGAGTCCCGCAGGCGGCGACATGTGAGAAATTTGGGAAGCGCGTGTGCTGCCTTTAAGTGGTTTACGCCAAGAGGATTTCACTCTGTGTGTCAGGCTGATGACACCTGTGCACACACATACACACACACACAAAACAAACAGAGACAATGCCCCTGGCTGTCACCTTTCGCAATAACTGAATGCTACCTGCTACGACGTCCCGTTTCTTGCCGTTGCCAACCGCAAGACTAACAAAAACACGACCGCAAATTGACTTGGATTTTGTCCTCGCTTATCCTTTGTCATGCTAAAAAATATTTAAGGAAATTAAACGGATTTCCCCAACAATTTTTGGCACATAATGCACTCAGCTTGCAACTACAAGCAACGAGTTCAAGTAGTTTCTTAACTCATTCGATATGCTAATTATCTTGTCTGCTTCACACTCGGCTAATATGTATAGAACAACTAGTTGCCTGCAGGACTCTTACAAACTTGCACAAGCCACCGCCTTAGAAAGTAATTGATGTGCGAAAGCAATGGAAATTAGCGAGAGTAGAAGAAATTCTAAAACTAATATTAAGGTAGAGCTAGGGTGGATCCTTTTAATTGATAATGAAAATATTTGTGAGATGAAAATATTTATTACAGAAATTGTAATTGTAATAAATATAAAAAATATAATAAATATAAAAAATATAATATATAATAATTAATAAATAAATATAATAATAAATAATAAATCAGAAAATCTTTTTATAGCTCGATTAAAATCTTTCTCTACTTGTTTAAGTTATATGAATAAAATATTGTCTCAGATCTTATATTAGATTTTTCCAAGCACAGATTAAGGCTTACTGAAATCTCTTAAAATATTCTTAGCAGCTCTACCTCAGGCCTTTTGCTTTGCCAGTCCTGAATTTTGATTTATAAGTCAGATAAAATTTGAATCTGCTTCATGTGTTTCAATTTCTAATCAAAATGAATGCTTGATCAAAAGAACTCTCTAAGTAAGCTGCAACATAGGGTCTCAATGATGCCTCAAACTTGAGCCCTTACCCTATCTAGTGGCATACACTTTAGTCAGTTTTAAGTTATTCACAGCACAACAGCTAGCCATGTATTTGCAAGCATAGGCTTCATATGATTTTTTCTAATATATATCGCTCAAAATATTAGTACAAATTTTCTACACGTATTGAAAGTCGTACTAAATCAATATCCTAGAAAAAGCGTAATATTTCCGAACTTCGAAATGGCAACGACAGTCTCGAACGTACAGCTGCCCGTGGACTGCGTGGGTCACAAGGGGGACGTAGTGCAACTGGCGTACAGCAAGGTGTGCAACTCGGGCTACTACTTGGCCTCGGCCAGCCAGGACGGGCAGGTGATGTTGCGGCACGGCGACACCGGCGACTGGGTGGGCACCTTCGAGAAGGACGGCGAGCCAGTTCTGAGTGTGGATATCAATGCGGATGCCACTCGACTGGCCACGGGCAGTGAGGATTGCACGGCGCGGATATGGAATGCAGTCGACGGCAAGCAGCTGACAAAGATCATGTTAAACTCGCCTGTGCGTTGCGTGGCGCTGGGAGCCAAGTCTGAGTACCTGGCTGTGGGTTGCCTGGATCGAAAGACGGGCCATCGCACCGACAAGGTACTGTATCTCTACACACTGGAGCGACCGGATTTGCCCATCTCATTTGAGGGCCAGACACGTGGTATGCGGGATGTGCTCTTCTGCCGAGACAATCGCGCGCTGCTCTCCTCCTCGCACGATCGCTCCATACGACTGTGGGATCGGATGAGTGGCAGGCAGGCGCACTCTATAGCCCTGCCTCATCATGCCAAGTCGGTGGAGCTGTGTGCGGACGGACGCACCGTGACCATTGCCTATGGCCACAGCATCGTCTTCATCGATGTGGATCGGTTCGAGGTGCTGCAGCATCGCAAGCTGCCCGTCCGTCTGATCGGCGTCTCGCTGCATCCGGAGAAGAAAACGTATGTCTGTGCCGGCAGTAATCGCTGCATCTACAAGTGCGACTATGCCACAGGCGAAATCCTGGAGACCTTCAATGCCCACGAACGTCACATGCACTGCATCAAGTACAGTCCCGATGGCGAGGTCTACGCCTCATCCGCGGCCGACGGCGGCCTTCGCTTGTGGCAGCAAACAGTGGGCAAGAAATACGCATTATGGGATACCCGAACTGTTCAGAACAACGAATACGATGACGAAGACGACGAGGCCGACATCGACGTCGACGACGAGGCCAAGTCCGAATCCGGGGGCGATCAGAACTGAGAAAAAATCAACTCTAAAACCAGAAAAACAATCCCGAAAACTGGATATCAACTGTAGTTGCACACGTGTTTTGCGTTCCTCTGCGTTTATTTTCATCAGCTTCTTAAGTTTGGTTCCAATAATAATAAACGAAAAAGGGTCACGCTCTGGTCCCTCTAATAAATTTGTCTGCGACCGCGCGGCGTTGTTGTGATTGACTGCCCCCAATCTATCTACCTGTGCCAGTCTGTACCCACAAGCCTGCCACGTCTGTCTGAGCCGCGACTCTAACTACCTAACATTTCATTGTCTTCTCCTTTTCTATACCACGTGCTCTTTTTAAAAGTGGGTATGCCTCGTTCTGAAGTCTTCAAATTTTATGAAGCATAAGGACTGACTTCACAATGAGAGAAATAGATATAATTTCAGCATAGAGGAAAATTGAAATGACGGTCAAATTAGTCAGATTGATATATATCTTAATATATCTTGGTATCCTTTCAGTGTTCAATTATTCGAAAATAAAAATTCCAAAATATTTAAAAAAATGAGATTAATCAAATCTAACAAAACTAGATATCTCACAGTCGAGCATACCCGCCTGCAACAGCCTCACCTATTATTTCTTATTTCGACTGCTCAACCTGTTTTCGTTGCGCATTTGGCTGAGTAAAAGGTTTCCTGAAAGGATTTTAGGAAAAACCCAAGAAGACGTCGCTCAATGCTCCAAAGCGTTCAGTGTTTGGTGTTTTTTATGCCGTTTCTCACCAAATCAGAGTCATAAATGCATTTTATTATTATTTATACAGTCGTGGCAGTCAACAAAACGTGGCCCTCTGGGCATTGGAATCGTTTTATTATGCATCCAAACGAAGTACGTAGTTTCACTTTGGGGTAGGTGCAGGGCGAGAGTCTGTCTACAGCCAATGCACGACTGATAGACTAGGCAAACAGAGATACAAAACATATAAAGATACATTCAAGCATAGACACACGGATACAGGCTCAACTTTTTGGTGGGGCAAACAACGAAATGCTGACCTAAGTTACCTTAAAAGATTTTGTCGCTTGACTTCGTATGTTTGTTTGTCTTTGCTGCAAATGCATTTCCATAAATGTATGTATAAATTTTCTTCTGCTGATAAAACAAGTTTTCCACACGAACACATACAAATGAACCCCTGCTGCTGCAATCATGCTGCGCTTAGTTTCCACGCGTTTACCAGGAAAAACACTCCAGTGAGGACCTTCCCAGTCTCTCGCACTCCGTCTCTTTCTGCTGTGTTTATCTAGTAGGTTGTTCCAATAAAAAGAAATGAGTTGTCATTTCGAAACGGTCCTGCAACAAGGTTTTTATCTCCGGCACAAGTGTGCGCCTTGATTGATGATGATTGTTATTGCAGACTGGCACAAGTAGCACAGTAGCCCAGAAAAGGATTTCAGGCTCAACGGTAGCCAGTACAAATATTTGCATATGTCCAATGTTTAGAATTTCATATTTGCATTGCATTTGAAAAAAGTCATCAATATGGCTCATCAGTCCATTCATTTTAGCTGATCTTTACTGTCAAACACAACTCCAGCACTGACCGCAGCAATTTGTCCAAAGGTCTCAAATCCAAAATAAGCCACAAGTCATTTATAAATGTCACGAACATTTCTGATTTGTTTTTATATTAATGATTGGTCATTTAGCAGGGAAGATATCTCAACGATCGAGATTATAAGCTGATAGAAGTCACACGACTGAAAGTAGAGGGAGCATTTGATATGCAGGGAGTGTACAGAGTTTTAGGGACACGATCTGATGTTGCTTGAACTGACAAATGTAGATCTTTGAATATTTGGTGAAGTCTGCCCTGAACTTGGAATACAAATTGATTAACTTGGCTTAACACTGAAGGACTGCGCTGTGAGATCTATCACTTATTAGGGAACGAAACACTGAGCGACCGTAAAGATGCCATAAGAGTATAATGATGCAATGTCTAACAAGCCAAAATATACTGGACGACCTGAAGAATAGCTATAGACAAACAAAATATTATATAAGTCTATCAAGAAATTAATTTAAATAAAAGAAAATGCATTTTACTAATTTTTTTTTTAATTTTTGCTGTTTTTTTTTCTTTCTTATAGTAAACAATAAACTTTTTTTTTACAATAATACTACATAACCGGATGGCTTGGGCTCCAATGAGATCATTCCATATATTTACCTACTTGCGGACATGAAATCTTTTAAGTCGCTTATGGTTGCTTGAGTTGTCCAGTAGTCTTAGTGCTAGAGCATTATCATGGTTATGTAGCCTATTCATGTATCTTTTTGCTAGTAATTCTAATATCGAAATTATGAGCGATACCAGAACAAGACGCTCAGAATGATCACATGTGCTCCATGGTATGTGACTAATTATAATAAGCACAAAGACTTAAAACTCCCCATAATACCAATAAGATCAAACTAGTTTTTCAACATGATTATTCAAGTATTATTTAACACTCAATTTATTCTAACAGTAGACGAAATTTGTCATTGATAGATATTTAAAATCCAGGAAGCAATTGTTAGTTTTTGCTGATGAACTCAATGTAATTTTATCTTTGACAAACAGAACAGTTCAGTTACTTTAGTAATATATATGGTATACATTGCAGCTCAATACTCTGTCGTAACTCCAACTCTTCTACATTTCTCATAGTTCCCAATATCATACAATTCTTTTACCACTTAAAAATAACTCATTTACCAACTCAATTGCAGTTCACTTATAGAAGAAATTACAATTTTCCCATGGGCTGCTCAACTTTATTAGACCCTATCGAGATCACTTCCGCAACTTGATGTGAAACCTATCGAGACAAGCCCTTAAAAACGAGTAGTATAAATATCCTTAACCATAACGCACCTGCCCTAGAGTATCTCAGTTCAGAATTGAGCTTTGCGGTCACAGTTCGTGCGCTAAACAATTTTATGGCAATTTCCTTACGGAACAGAATGCTATATATACATATGTATGAGCAGACATATAACGAAATTCATCTTATGGCAATTTGGAACGTTACTTCGACTGTCACGCTAGGTGGGCAGGAAAAACTCGACCAACCCGACCAACCGGCCGCCCGCCCGCTAGGAACACGTGGCATATCGTATGCTAAGTCAAGTTTTTTCAGTATTCTATCTTGGGTTCAGGGCTCGGGGGTGTCTGTTGATTTTATGTTCCGGTCGGCGCGATAAGGCGTGCTGCATTCGAAATGAGTGTAACGTATATTTTATGCAGTGTCCATTGAGGTTTTACCAAATGAGATAATATTACATTAGGCTGACAATGGCGACCTTCAACTCGGGACTCTTATCGAGGCAGAGAATAATAGAGACAGTCTTGGGCGCTTATCAGTCCAAAAGAGACCATAATACTGTAGGGAAGTCTAGATTAAAGAGAGTCAATGTTCAAATACTGCTCTTATAACTTAACATATAAACTTCTCTATAAATTGCTCCATTATTTGTTTAACTCTCAAGTACAGATCTGGCAGACTGAAAAAATGTTTGATTAAGTCAAACAACGATCAAATATTGACAGCGTTTTGGATTAGTGATATGTGAGTGTAAGGAATTATTATTCAATAATTTCAATGGTATCAATCGTGGATCAAAGATATTAACGTTCAAATACTGTCAAAATATCGTATAATATTTTAATATAACGATTCGATTATATACAAATATATCTTTTATTTAGAAATATAAAAATATAACTATTTCATTAACAATTTTTCTATTTCATACTTATATTTAAAATATTTTTTAGATATTGAGAGGCCTAGGAAAAGCACAAATAAAACTATAAAATATTGTCAGCATGTTCTATAGATCTATCCGTAATTAAACTCATAGATCAACATAAACGAATGATGACATACATTTATCTAAATTTTATATATATATATGCATTTCTAATTTTCCTAAGAATTGCTTTCAAATTTGTAGATCAGTCAACAAATATTGCTGAAATGTTCTTGTTTATTCAGATAGCCAGCATTAAAGTCCCACTTTTCCACGAAAAACAAATACGCATCTAAGTACCCGCACGTTCCAAAGTTGGGCAATCCTTTGATGAGCTGCCCTTATAAAGGATTATGAGCACCACTTGAAGGACACCCCAAATTGTGTTCAGTTACCTCTTTCATTATTCCTGCACAATTCGACGCCTTCTTTTCCGTGTGTTTACACAGCAAAATGCAACCCATATACATTTTCAGTGCATCCTGTTAAGATATCGTCAACTCGAGGAAATTACTTAAAAGGATCACGAACTCTCGCCAACCATAGGCCTCCCCCCTTTAAGATCGTGACTTGTTTATGTTTCAGGCATGACTGCAATTCAACGCCGGCAGAATTTTTTCAAATTTGTTAAAAAGTGTGTAAATTTACGTTCTTATATTCCTTTTTTTTTTTTTTGTTTTTTCTTCGGTTTTAGGAGGGTGTGTCCCATAAACATAGAGCTCTGTGGTATGTCTGGCTAGAGGGTCGAGTCAAAATCGAGACTTGGCTGCCTAATCGATCTATAGATCGGTTTCCTTTGCTGCCTTTTTTGGGGTGATTGCACTCGAGGCTCGGCTTTTCCTTTTCCACTTTTGAGCACAAAAATAGAAATAAAACAAGAGTTTTTCTTCTCCGGGTACAAAGCAAATGATGTCTTTAGCTATGAACCGGGTTGACTTTTTCTATTATTTTTTTCGTTTTTTGTGCACTTTAATTGCATTTGTGCAAACAATATAAATCGTATTTTATTGCCCTGGCAATGTAATTTAATTTTTTACGATTTTGCACTCGAATGGCAAAAAGCTTGGGAAATTTTTATAAACATTTTTTGTTGAAATCATTTTTAAATACGCTCTCTAAGTAACGGCTGTATGTTAAACGCAACGGTAAATTATCTTTACACTCTGTTTCGCATGTTCTAATGCACTTTTATAGATTGCCCCACATTTGAGAGGTCCAAGGCCCCCGAGTTACAATTGGAAAGTGAAACTGTTGTAAAACGGTTGGAAACTGTCTGCGCGGCCGCCCTAAATCCAATTTGTCCGACTCTGACATGGCAACAAATATACACACACGCACACACACACACGCACAAATCCAGTTTCAGGTTAAACAAACCGAAGCCAAAGCATTTTCATCTACTCTTCGTATTCAAGCCAAAAGTACAGCTCCAACGCGGGCAGCAACAACGAAGCGCAGAGATTTTTCAGTAAGCCGAATAAGGAATGTTCTTATCGATAAATTGTTGTATAAGTAATTCAATAATTTTGCATTTTGAATCAATTAACCTCAAATGTCATATAAATATTGCACAGTCATTGGGTTAACGTGAAATAAATTTGTTATTACAAGTTTTTCAATCTGTCTAATTATCTAATATTACAAAACTCATACTAAAATGTATATGCTTCGATGTCTTTAGAGCAATAAGAAAACACAACTGTATGAACACTCTATGCTGCTTTGATCATTTTGAATTCGAGGGTTGGTATGGCAACGCTGCGGTGGTTGTTTGACGTTTTGTTTTGTGGTTGTTCTTACGCTCACAATATCTCGTGCGCTCTCCGACTCTGTGAACAAAAACTTGCTCTCTGCGAGTAAACAAGAGCGTAATATGTGCGCTCTCTGAGTGCAAAGATGACAGCGTATAAATATCATTTTTAGCTGTTTGCCGACGTTCAGTTGAAATATACTGCTCGTTGAGTTTAGTCGAAGAGCGCATTCGCATTGCGCAAACTAACGACACAATCACAAAAATAAAAAAATTGGAACGCGAATTACAAAATATATCTAAGATATTACAACTTATGTTGTAAAGCAAATAAGAACACCGAACATAAAGTGCAAACAAGTTAAACGTGTATTTCGCAAGTCTCAAGTTTAACTCAACTCGACTCGTCAGTTTTCTCTGTGGCTTGAGTGAGTGGCGTGTTTTTACGTGACCAATAAGAACAGAAGAACGATAATCGACATTTGCAAGTGCAACAAAAAAGCAATACCCAACGCATTTGTTTATATCATATTTCTAAACAAATATACAAAAAAGCAACAAATACGAATTTCACTTTTTTAATGAGTCTCTAAAAAAGACGCAAAACGACGAATACAAGCATACAATTACGCTCATGCTCACACATATGAAGACGATTTGTGGAGACTCGTATCGCATGTAAGTGTGTGTACGTGTAATTTCATGGGAGTGTATTAGTGAGCTCTCCCCTCTTTTTGCGTTGAGCAGCAACGACGTACAGGCAGGCACAAAAAATAATACTTTTTGGCGCCAAAACTTTGACAGTTCGCTAAGTCGCAAATTCGCAAAAACAAGTAGGCAGAAAAAGCTGTCCCAAAACACACGATACAAGAAAAAACGAAAGAACGAATAAAAATAAAGAATAAATCAAATAAACCACGCAAACAAAAGTGCAACAACAAAGACAATAACAACATGGTCAGCGCACGTACGCTCCATCCAGCAATTCGAAGCGAGTTCTGCACGATGATGGCCAGCCCAGCCGTCAGTCGCAATTCACCCTGCATCCGTCAATTGGATCGTATCAAACGCAATCTGTTTGGTACAGAGCAGACACCGCTAATAGAAAACAAAACGTAAGTCGAATATATAGTAAATAGAATGTAGTTAAATATATATAATTGTTAATAAAAATATAAAATATCTTTAGCAACTTCTTTAGCGCTGAGCTGGAAATTCGACAGGAGCGCGCCTCACAGAAGTGGTGCTTTGATTTTCGCGCAGATCGCCCGCTGTCCACAAATGGCACCTATAATTGGGAACGCGTCAGTACGCAAGAATCGACTTTTGCACCACAGATGTACACACTCACCCGTGCCGCCCATGTACGTCCCATTGCCGCTGGCCCGGCCAGTGATATGGATGCGTTGTTGGATGAACGTGCCGATCGTGAGAATTTGGCGAATTCCTCGCTGGACTCGAACACTGATACCGAGTACGACTCGCAGGATGACTCGCTGACGTTCAACAGCAGCAGCAATGTGGTGGCGTCCACCTCTGCAGCCGCGTTGACCGCCTCCGTCTGCTCCTCTTCCTCCACTAGTGCAACCTGCAGCTCCCCCGCGCAGCAACGCAAGCGACAGCTTAAAATCACAGGTGAGTTCCGTTTCCTGCTTTGCCCTATTGTTCCTGCTACCCTAGCGCTCCCACCCTAGCTTCCCATTGTTCTGCCTGATTGCATTTGAACTTCCCATTTTTTGTCCGTTACAAATTCATTTCCCATAACGCTCGATGTTCGCTTATTGAACTATTTAGTGGGCGAGTTCAATAAAGGGGAACCCAACCGAACAAGCTGCGTACAGTGGTCACACGATAAACCCACTGTAATGGGATCGTATGCAAAATTTCCTTAAATGTCTACAAACATAAGCGTAATCTTTATTTGTTGTACACCAGAAAGTATAAACTTCTCTCACATGGCCTATATCATATCCATACCGTATTCCAACCTTGCTTCATTAATTGTTTCCCATGGACGCAGCCTATTTATTGAGTCCCGCGTAGGCGTTGTTCTGCAATCCCCAAAAATGAAAGCCGTAATAACAGGCTCTGCCCAACGCGGCTTTAAGGTATATAATTAGTTTTGTTTTATGTGATTGAGTGAAGGGGTTAGGCTATAGCAGAGCGATCGGCTGCAGCTGGTTTCCAGCACTGATTCCCCCAACTATATCCTCATATCCCTATCCCCCTGGCTCTGCCTTTTGCTTAGAGTCAATGCACGCAACATCCCTACGACTGCGACTGCGCCTGCGTCGCGGGGGTTGATTTTCAAACGTGATCATTGCATGCGGGTTGCTGTAAATGTTAACAGATGTGCGCGGCTCTGCCTCGAGTTGACCTCATTAGAGACAGCCACAAGAAGCGGCAGAGAGCGAGAGAGTGAACGAGTGAGAGAGGGGGAGCCGCACACAATGTGCCGCCATCAAAGCGCGGCGCTTATCAACTGCCGCTGATTGCTTTTGTATTAAAATTTCTGTCTCTCTTTTTTAGTGGCACTTGGCACAGTTATTAACATAAAAAAAACGAAAAATAAAGAAGTGTCTGTGCTGGACAGCCCGCATGTATCTAGCCTCATGGGCATGGCTGTACTTTTGTGCAGCGAAGCCTAGAATCTTGCCCACTTGGCAGTTGGGCGTGTAATTTATGCAGCTATGCAGCAAGATCGATGCAGCGCTGACTACCTGAGCGCGCCTCTCGCTTTCATTCTGCATTCATTCATTTCATTTCATTCAGCTACCCTTGTTGTGGCCATCAACCCCTGGCCAGCCCCAGCCACGTGCCACAATTCTGAAAAATCAAAATGTGCAAAAACAGGCGGCGCCTGCTGCTGCTATTAAGCATCAGACAACAAATGTCATGACTCATTCACTCGCTAAGGGTAGCAAATGCCAGCTGACTCTGATCCTTACCTCTATTTGTATTTTATTTGATTACTAAAAGTGTGCTCTTTCTTTCTTTGTTTTAGAATTTATGAAGGAGCGCAAGCGACTGGCACAGGCGCCCAAGAAAATCTCACCCGCCAAACGTTTGCGCTTCTGCTCCGGCAGCAGTAGCAGCAACATGAGCGCCAGCTCCTCTGGATGCTCGCTTAAGCGCACGCGTCACAACTAAATCATCAACAGCGGCTGCACAGCGGGCAAACAGAAAACACTCAATTTGCAATTTGTAATTTTAATTTTAATTTTTTACTACACTGCAAAGGGCAACATACGTATTTTTTTACAAACAAACACACAAAACCTAAAACACACCAATACATTTCTATGGCGTATATTTTAAGTAGTTTTCACATTGCATTTTTTTACACATACAAAATTAACTACTCATTTTTGTGCAGTGCAAGGGCGAAAGTTGCGAATATTAACATATAGTTTAACTAGTTTATATGCCAGTTACTACAACCAGTACTAGTACTAGAACAAAATAGTTACTAAGCATTAGCTAAGTAGTATCGAGCTATATGAAACTTATTAGATTTCTCTAGTGAGAAATGCCATAAACTAAGTGATTAGTTCTTAACAACAACAACAACAACAACAAACACTACTACAACAACAAAAAGAATTCGAAATAACGTAAACCAAAATTTAGAAGGAGTCGGAAACCCTTGAGACATCTTTAATGAAAAATACATTTTGAATACCATCCTTAACTTTGAATTATATAAGCTACTAACTACACTAAATTGTAAATTATATCTTTTAAATTTTACCAGCAACTTGAGAGTTCCTTGTAAAATTTGCAATTCAAAACTTGATGTAGTTCTGCTTTCCGAAAATTCTTTGTAAGCATTTTTTTTGTTTATACATCAAAATTTAGTTGAATGCAGAGTTATGTTGATTTTTGTTCTTTTTTACTAAAACAAAATCACTAAAACTTACAATTATAATTATTATTTAATTTATAATTATAATTGTCTTTGTTTTTGTGGCTGTGAACAAAGTCCTTAAATTCGACCAGTGTAACAATTTATGAACTAAGTTTATTTCCTTTGCTAATTTGTGAGCTTTTGCAGATTATTTATTTACTATTTGCAAAACTTCATGAATTTGCCTTTACTGAACTGTAAACTTTATTTAAAATTCATTTCTATCCGTTGCCAAATTGTTTGGCAAATGATGAAAGAGATTTTGCTTAACTATATTGTACAAATACTATAAATAATATATATATTTATATATGTGTACATACATATATATATTTATATATATCAACTATTATATAACTAGGCAGAGCCTATATTACTGAATAACATTTACACTGATCAGCCTATTTCATAAGTCTAGCCTATAGAAAAAATCCAAAGTATTTATACCTAATGCATATTGTGTTTATAATCCAACTCATACTTCAATAAAACAAGAAAACAAAAACAACACAATCCAATATTATGTGTAGAAGTTTTCATTATTATATGTTATTGTTTTCTTTTGTAGACACCTCTTTGTTTATTCAATATTATGTATAATTTGTACTCTAATTTCTTTAAGTTCTTTTGTTTTTTTTTTTCAATAAAATTTGTTTTTCTTTTTGTAGTAGCTTAATTTTTATTGAATTATTATAAGTTCTTAGGAGCTACAAAGAAGTTTTGCCGTGCTGTATGTAAACTGGTTCTTTTTTTCAAGCATTGATATATTCATTTGGCACAGTCCCCCATCTTGGGATATCGAAATTCAATAGTTTTTAAGATTTTGAAATTACTAGTATTGCCAATGAATCGCGTGTGTTGCTCTATTAATAAAATTGTCGCTTTGATAAATCTTATATAAAACGCATATATATTTTCTCTAGAGATCATTGATATACACGATGTCGGAATGATAAAAACATATTGGTTTTCAGCTATTCGAGTCTTAGTCGGCTCATTGCTGTGTAACACAGTTTTTCATATATTTTGAAAAACGATTCAAACACAAAATAAAAATTGATTAATTGAAATTATATATTAGTTGTTAGTGGTTGGTTGAGTCGGGCTGAAGATGTCACCTCTGTATTTATATTACTCCAAACACGTTTTAGGCCAACTCTTGGTATTATATCTTAACTGCACCTGAACTGAACCGATTTAACATCGGTTTAAAAAAATATATTTTACATTGATCGACCAACTTTATCGATTGGCTTATTCAATGGTAACATGCACAGAATGTTTTCAAAATTGTATTTAAATTGAGGTAATATTTTCTCTATCTTAATAAAAGAATTTTCTGCATTTCAACGGATTAAATTTATATCTTATTATTTGAACACCTTGTCATTTGACTCGTGCTTAGGTGTGTGTGTCTAGAAAAGATGCATCGAATGATAGAAATAGCAACTTTGCTGTTCTGCGCAGGATGCAGAGTATATCCAAGTCGGGCACTCCCACACTACTTGTCTTTTACTTGCAGTTGGCCAATATAGAAAAAATTTCACTTGTTTTCTTTACGTTTTCCATTTCAGTTTTATTTTCAATAAATTAATATCATTTAGCACTTACGACAAATACATAAACAATTTGATTCATTTGCGAACATAGAAATTGACTAACTTTAACTGCGATTAACTAAGTTTTTATTTTTATTTTACTTTTTGTTTTTTCCTCATTAGTTAGGTGCAATTGATTTTTGAGTTTTTGTTGCGTATACAGTACATGAATAGGATTATATACAGTATTCAGATGGTACCGGCTGTCGACTACTTCCCCGTTGCCTTCTCCTCCAGCTGGGCCTGTATGTGCTTGACATTCTGTCCGCCGCTGCTGTGGCTGTGTCGCTGGAAGAAGGCGTTGATGGAGCTCATGGATCGGTATTCGAGATTATCGCTAATATGCCAGTCGACGCTGATGCTCTGATGCCTGCCCACGGGATTGCGGATCTTCGTCTCATTGTACTTCTCCAGCAGATGCAGCAAGCAATCCTTCGTCGTGTTGGCTGCCTCCTCCAGATTCACAGTCTGATGAGTATCCGGCAAGCCGATGGGCACATCGCGACTCATTTGGTTAATGCGAAATTTGGCGCGTCGACTGCTTGCCGACTCCGTGAAGGCATGATTGCTTGAGCTGGCATTGAAGCTGTTGCTTGTGCTGATGCTGGAACTGAATTTGGAGCTGCTGGTGCTTGTACTGCTCTTTTGCACATGGCTCTTAGCGTTGGCCGTACTCATAGTGCTCACTGTAGACTGGCTGCGCAGCTGCGACTTGGACCAGCTATTGTCACTATTGCCATTGCTCAGCTTTGGCGTCTCCTCGATGGACTGCTGTAACCGCACCGACAACGAGCTAATCTTCTGCTGACCATCAGTAGAACGCACTTGTGTCTGGCTGCTGGAGCTGGAGCTGTGCAGCGGACCAAGCGATGTTACGCGGGTGCTGCGTGTGCTGCTCTTCACTTTGTTGCCTTCCTGGGTGATGCTGCTCTCCGTGGAACTCGCGTTATTGTTGCTATCACCCAGCTTGGTGTTGATCTCGGCCAGCATGAGCAGATGATCCGACAGCTTGCGTATTTCATCTGCCAGATTGACGCGCTCCCCGGAACTGCGCCTTCCCAGCAAATAGGTCGTGTCCGAGTTTCTTCTATCGAATGTATGCAGATAGCTCTTCATGCTGCGCCGCTGCTGTGCGCTGCTTTCGCTGCCGGAGAACTCATCGAAGTTCTCATTGAACAGATGCTGTGGCGTGGGCGTGGCACAACCAGAAGTGCCCGCTGCTCCCGCTACTGGGAACAGCTTCTCGCGGGATTCATTAATGGGCGTGGTAGCTACCGAATGGGGACTGTCACCGCTGCGCTCTGTCTCCTCCTCAAAGGCCGCCCCAGCCTCCTGCTCATCGTCCGTCAGCGTCGCAATCGACTCGCATGGCGAGGGCGAACAAACTGTAAAAGCAAAAGGATTTTAGTCTAGAGCAGTTGGGCAAAGAAAAGTTCTACATATAAATTGGATTATTTTGGGGGTTAGGTTTAGACGAATTATCAAAATTGGGATATCCGAAACAAATATAAAGATATACGTATAGACAGAAAATTAGAACATGCTTATGAGACAGACAGCCAATTGGTTAACAGAGAAGTTAATAATGGATCGTAACAGCTAACCCTGATAGACAACATACTGTGCGCAAGGATTTAACTTGAAGTAATGAGCTTCTTTATCTGTGTGCTATGTTCCCTTATCAGTATAAGATATTATTAAAATTTGTATCTATAAGAGTTTCGAAATATATTTTTAAATTTTAGAAATATTTTAAATATGTTTGTTGTAGTTCTATTTTTATTTTAATTTTTAAACAGAGCTGTAAATATTTAGAAATGATGGATTTTGAACTTGACAATATTGAACATTTCTTAATTAAAAAATTTAATTTTTCTTAAAGATTTTAAATTAAATTAAGTGTATTAAGTATTACTGAAGTAATTTATAAGTTATATAACAAAAACAAGATTTTACTTCAATCATTTTTTGTGATAGTTAAAAAAATAATTGAGACTATTTATTAATTACTTAATGATTAATTACACTTTTCAATTAGGAGTTAATTACACCTTTTAATAAACTGTTTTTCTCAGTTAGGACATAAAAATAATATAAAATTTTTATATATATTGAGTTTTCTTTCAAAAATTTTACATATATTCAAAAAATCATTCAAAATTGATGAAATATTAAAAGCTTTAAGAATCCAATATTAAAAAATATTTCAAAATTAGTTAAGAACTTTTATAATAATTTCTTATAGTTACGGAACGCAACACAGATAAGCATCATGTTTGATGAACAATAACCCGTTGAATGAAATGAGATTTTGACTTGAACTTTTGAATTTGGCAGCATTTGATCGATAATTTTTGCTATATCTTTGATCGATGAATGGGGCTTACCTTGTCCGATAGTTTTGAAACTGTGGCTAGGTGTTGAGCTAAACTTGAACTAGGTTTGGGATAATGCCTTAACTTGTTTTTCAACATATTATTATTTGGAATGTTTGGATAGATTCGCAGCTAATGTATTTGAAAGAAAATTTGTAGTATTTGAATTTGAAGTATATTTTGGTATTACTCTTGTCATTGGCTGTCTTTATCACAGTGTCGAAACGCTAAGCAACTTATACAATAAGGCAATTTGGTTAATAGAGGTAGCATCCAATATATGGATGCGCTTAAAGCTACAATTACTTAAAACTTAAGCCAACAACATTTGTACTAACAACATATTGAAAGTACTTTGTTTGTTGCTATTGTTTTTGCTGTTGTTGTTGGCATGCCATGTTTCTCCCAAACATACACATACAACGTAATTACAATATAGCTCATTAAAAGTTGATATGTTAACACAAAACATAAATTGATTGCAGTATACATAGAAAAAAATTAAGAATGAGCGACGGGAGAGTTTTATGAGTGGGCACTAAAGCGTGCCCTTCTTTGCGCTTCTCATTAAGCCAACTTGGTGTACATTCAAAGTTAAGAGATAGAGAGAGAAACAATTAGTTGGCTGAGTTTTTGTGTTTTGTTGCCGTTTTGTTGTTGTTTTTAAGTTAATTATGTAATTTACAAAATTGGTTGTGATTGCCTCGCCCCCGCTCATTTGCCATGGATGAGCGCATGCCGGTCGCGCTGCCTCTGGGAGCCACCATCGCGGCAGTACTCACCTCGCGATGAGGAGATGCTGTCCGGACCATGCGGCCGTCGGGGATGCGTGTAGCTGGTCTCATTTAGAGGCGCTATCACGTTGCCCTCGACGTCAAAGACGTACGGACTATTCGGATGCGTCTCCCAGCGCACTATGAAATTCTTTAAATTATCCTTCGTGGCATCCAGCTCTTTGTTCTATGTGGAAGCATTAGGGAAGCATAGTTACAGTGGCTTGGTTCGCTATTTAACTAACTTTCTGTTTACCTCTAGCTGCGCCAGCTCTGCGCTGTTCTCGTCCTGTTCCGTCGCCTCGTCCTCCTCGACGTCTTCATCATCATCCGCATCCTCGATTGTTTCCGTTGAATCCTCTGAAGACTCCGAGGCTAATGTTGTGGGCGACTCTGACTTTAGTCGCGTCTTGCTGCTCACTGAGGCGCTCTTGCTAACTGTTGTTCCAGCTACTGCTGCTGCTGACGCTGTTTTTTTTAGGGGCGTGGCCGCGGGATGATACTGCAGCCATTTGTGATTCACACAATCGGCGGCTGTCATGCGGGTGCTGTGGGGCATTTGGTTGATTAAAAGAGCGACTGCTGGTAGGCTGCTTGGCTGGTTGGGTAGTTGGCTGGCCCGGTTATGGGCTAGACAACTAATTAACAAAAAACTCACCTCAAGTCCTTAACTAGGAGCTTCGCTATGAAATCCAGGCACTCCGGGGATATGCCATTAAAGCATTCATCCTCAAAATCGTATTTTGCAATGGTTACGTTTGACATTGTTTCAATGTCGTTCTCGCCCATGAAAGGCGACAGACCAGATATGCTGTAATGGGTTTTGTTGTTCCATGTGTGTGTGTTTGTGTGGGTGTGGCAAAGTCAATAAACATGAAATGTAAAAGCAGCGCACACAAAATAAATAAATACATAAAAAACACACACACACAGCAGCATTTAATTAACTAAATTAAATTGGCGTCGAGCGAGCTTTGCTGTTTAGTTATTTGTGCCTTGGGCAGGGGGATTGTTGTAGCTTGGTGGTTTGCCTCGAACACCTTCCCTAACATTTCTAAGACTTTGATTATTTAATTCTTGACTGCCGCAATTTTCACAGATTTTTAATTAGTTTACTTTGTTCACTCGAGCAACGCCAATGTCCCTCACTCACTCCTCAAGTTAGCTTTGATTAAATTTTCTAGTGTCATATTCTTGCAGCAACACTGCGCAGCATAATTAAGTACACGAAGGTACAAATTTGATTAGCTGAAAGCAAAATAGTACTCTCAGCTATAAAATTGATTTTTGGAATGAAGTTAAGCATTCAAAATAATTTGCTTATAAGAAAATAAAAACTCAGCTTTAAAATTAGTTAACAAAATTGCTAACAAAGAAGAAGAAAAACTTGAAGAGTTTTTAAAATTTTGAGAATCGCATAGTAGAGCGAGAATACTTTCTATTATATTTGAGGCACATCAAGAAATTAACTTCGGTTGCAATTGATAATTGCATTTAATTAAATTAATGATTAGATTAAATTTTTTTTCCATAATGTTGCTGTTATGCAGTGTAATAAAGTTGTACTTACAGCACATAGCAAATGACGCCAACGCTCCACATATCAGTGCCATAGGAGATGCAGTCAAAGTTTACAACTTCAGGCGCCACAAACTCAGGTGTGCCGAAGAGAACCTGTAAGAATTGTAATATATACAATTACCCTGGATAAATATCGTGAAGATCGATTCAATTGAAACTCACTCGCAGGCGCTTGTCGGGATCGAACTTGCGTGCCAGTCCAAAGTCAATGATCTTAATACGATTGCCCTTCTGTGTGAGCACCAAAATATTCTCGGGCTTCAAGTCCAAGTGGATAATACCATTGCCGTGTATAAAGGCCATGGCCTCGCACACCTGCCGTATAAAGACACGACACACGCGCTCTGTGAGAACAAATTCATCGTCCACAACACGATCGAATAGCTCGCCACCTTCAATGCTGAGAAAACAGATTAATAATAATTAGAATCTCACATCTAAAATAAGTCTAAAGTGTCTAAGAAAACATGCAACATGTAACATCTAACAAGCATGCCAGCTAAAGCCAAGAAAACAGTTAAAGCAATTATTGTAACTCCCGTTTAAGTGCTATGTTTTAGACTTATTCCAGTTGGCTTACCTGCCCCATCTATAAGTCTATATATGTTATTTACAAGAGCTCGCATTGCTTGACATAACACGAAAATCAGATAATACATGAACATCAACCTATTTGGAGGAAGCAAAGTGCAGCAACTAATTGCAAAGCATTCATGATTTTTTGTTAACAAAAAAGCAAAATGCTTCGCGGTTGGTAACTTCGCTTACTTTAAGTTAGTTACTGCACTTTACTTAACAATTCTAGATCAAATCTACTAGAGCTGTTATAAATAATACAAAAAATTAAATATAAATATATAATAAGTAATTGGATATATTATATATATATATATTAATTTTTTATGAACTCATATACTAGACACTCAGAGATGGTATTTTGTATTCAATAATATTCGATATGCCATTGCTTATCATGTTCATTTCAAATCCATTTAAAGCTAGTTTGGTTTTAGATAAATCACAGAAAATTCCCTAAAAATTGTGTTTACGTTTTTCATTCAGAGTTTGTGTGTTAATTCATCTTCATTTAAAACATCGCTGTAAAACATTGCAAGCATTTATATCGTAATAATTTCTTGATATTTCGAATTCGTCATGCAGACAATATAATTAATAATTATATGCCAAAAACATGTTGATTCTAGCTCTAAGCCTGTGAAGCACATCGCATTACCTCATGCCGCTTTTAGCTTATATGTGGAGGCGACCAGCAGTAACTTAATTCTTAAATTTTGGGCGAATAGCCTTTAGCTTTAATATATATATTTCATATTGTACACATCTTATATGTATTTATGATAACATAATATATTTTCATGCTTCTGCCTTTAATAGTAACACAAATAAAATACATTTTACCCGATTTCTAAGTGTTCTATTCCGATTTGTCCCAGGCACTGACTCAGGAGTACCATATGACTACGATTCCCCCTATCACATGATATCACCTCCGAGTGATGTGTATAAGCAGAATTGCAATTACCTAGCTCTATCCGGCACATCTATTTTACTTTGTGAACTAATATCAAGAGATGAACAATTTATTAATTGCCGGAATGTGAGTGCAGCATGAAACTCGAATGTCAGTTTTAATATGCTTTAAGCACATTTATTAGCCAAAATAAATCATAAATGCATATGAATACTTTAAAGCTGAGCTAAAGCTCGCCCTTTACTTGACACTGCTACTAAACTAAATTGAATTTTACAAATTTTTATTTTATTTCAATTGAAAAAGCAGTTAAAAGCTAACGGCAATCGGCTTATTTGTGAAATTTTCCAGCTGCAATTCTCGTATGCAGTAATCGATGTGACTTATGTGACTTATATGCAGCTGCAAAATACATATTTCTGTCAGTTGACATAAAATATGAAATATGAATTATTTACAAAGCCAAAGGGACAAGTAAAAAGGGCACTTTGGCAATGCCAGAAATTCAAATAAATATTATTGTCTGTGGAAATAAACTGCAATTTTCATTAGAAAAGCAAATGGACAATTTACAAAACGAGTTTGCAGTTTGCAGTTTGTCAAGGATTTTTGTCTTGGCACAAATATGTTTGCTGCATTTTATGAATATGCAAACGACGAAACAACTTTCGCAAGTAAACAATTAAGACTCCAAAACAAAAAAACAACAATAAGAACTGTCAGCATTGTAGTCGAGCGTTGTTCAGGCACAGGACAACCAACACAACAGAACACACTTTAGCCATGAAAATTAATTTGAAAAGTAAAAAGTCAAGTGAGCCGCATAAAAGATTCGTGACTTTATTGTTTTTTTTTGCGTTGCCAAGTGTTGCATTTTATTTCTGCGGCGAAAAATTGCCCAGCCCAGGAAAATGGGTCAAGGCCAAGGCTTAATCAGTGCACCTTTGCCTGACTCAAACGCTTTTATGGCTCATAGAATATGCCTTAAACGGGACAGACTGTACGTTTTTATTAGAGACCAAAACTGGATCCAACTAGCAGTGACAAACAGTTGTGGCACGCCGAATATTGAATACCCTAGAAGGCTATATAAAATACGTAAATTGATTTTTATGTGATGAAGATTTGAAAACAAATAATCTAGCTAGTAATAGAGAGATTATTTATTGCCTGCATTTATATGTGCTCTGTGCTCTTCTAGTTAACCCTATACCAGTTTTGATAGCTGGGTTTGATAATTGAAGCTTTATATTTATTTTTATTGATTTAAAAAAAGGAAAACTTACAAGGGAAACATAAAATTTATTCCACATAAAATTTTTATTTATTTTCTATGGATTTTTTCTAAGGAATTCATAAGCTATACTGTTTCATTCTGCCTAATATCGATATATTAGATGTATAAAAACGGAAAACTTAAGGGGGTACAAATAAAATTTGTTCTACATAGAATTTTTATTTATTTTCTATTGATTCTTTCTTAGCTATACTCATTCAATCTGCTTAATATGGATATATAAGTTGGTTGCAAAACTCGCAAACAGACAGAGAGAAAAGCCTAAATGAACTCTCTTACGCTTACCGATCGAGAATATATATGCATTCCTTAATAGCTGATAAAATTGCAAGACCCTTTGGGAGAGCATTCAATAAATATCTGGGAAAGGAAGTGCGATAACCTGTTGCTTAAGGTTTTCTTTCTGAGTGTGCCCAAAAAAACCAAAAGGAAACAAAGAAAAAACAAGGAAAAACTTTTATAGTTGTGCGTCGTGTGTGTGTGTCATTGCGTGTTGGTGTGTGTGTGAAAGAAGTTTACTACTTTACGATAATGTGCGTACGTGTAAATCGTATTTTATGCACATTTCCCGCTGATTGCAAGATATTGTGTTCCACAACAATGTAACAACAAGAATAGAATAGAGCATTTAACGAAAAAAAAAAGACCAACAAAAGTTATGAAGATGTTGTCAAAGTAGTTTGCCATCAAGGACAACAAAGCACACGCACACACACAACAATAACGACAAAAACAACAACAATAAGGAACACAAGCGAAATCAACATATTCTACGACATGGATATAGAATTTCAACTATATAACAACTATACGTATAGATAGTTGTGTGTTCGTTTGGGCCTTACAGTTCCAGGACGACGCACATCATTTTCTGATATTCGTATGCAGCATACAATTGTATAATGAGATGATGTTGCAATGAATTCATAATCTCCACTTCTCGCTCCACGTTCCGCTTGTCCTCGCGCTTTGGTATGGGCACAAATTTGGCTGCCAGTTGTATTCCGCTGGTCTTCTCTTTGCACTTGTACACTGTGCCGAATTTACCACTGAGAATTGGGTATCATATGATTAGCATTTCATGCAATTGTCTGGGGCAGAGGGGGTGTTTCCAAGAAACATTCGGGTCCAAACTGCTTTTATGCGTACTTACCGTCCCACCTCACCGAGCACGTCGTACAATTTATGGGCGTCCACATTGCGGTTTATGGTCACATCGCGCATTGGAAAAGCGGGCTCCAGAACTGTGGAAAAGCAATGCGAGAGAGAAAAGTGAGTGCTGAGCGTAAGTAGCTGTGCTTAGGGCTAAGAATAACGTAATGCGTAAAGTAAGAAATATCAATCTTTTAAACAGCCAGAGGGACGAGACACAAGCAGTGAGCCATTGGAATTTCATAGACCAATTTAATGAAAGCCTTTCTCATGCCACGGAAGCTTAACATATCTTATCAGTTTTATTGACCTTTTTTATTTAGCTATTCACTCAGATACGCTGTTAAAGTTTTAGTCATAAATAAACTGTTTTTTTTTAGTATTTTTGCTCTGTTTATAATCTGTGGTTTTTCCTAATCAACTCACTAGCTGCTCAACAAGTTCTATTATTATTTTGTGCTTCTGGTTGACCTCTTATATTCATCTCTGCTGTTGTGCCAGAAAGTCAGAAAAGCCTTAAGGCAAAACAAATTGAACTTCACTTCAGCATGTATTCGACTACTTATAACGTCTCTTGAAATATGGCATTCAATCGTTTTCATTGTGCGCCCATACGAAATGCATTTAATATCGGGTCTTATGGCATCGCTTGCCTTTCCTGCTCTTGCTGCAAACTTTTTTGCTTGTCACATATTTCGCAACATATTGCAAACAATTTGTAGCAATATTTTTTCGTCTTTTGTTATGTTTCTTATTCAAAAGGAAACCCTTTTCAAAATTTATTTGCTGCTGCTGCTGCTGATGTTGTTGTATCTACAAGTTGCCAAACAAATAAAAATGACTTCATTGAATTGAATTCTGCAGCCAAGGGACATGAAACATAACCGCAGGCAAAAAATAGGACGACAACAACGATGACTAACGGGAAATACACACATACGCACACGCATGTGTGCGAGTGTGCACAAACATGTGTGTACTAGGTATGCCTATTGCAAAAACTATATTTTTTTTATATACCCCGTAGCCCCAGGGCATTCTAAAGTTATAAATATGTTGGCCAAATAGACCGAAGTAGAAATGTTGTTGGAGTAAAGAATATTTATATTTCTTATTCATAATGTTTGTATGATTTTCTACAATGATATACACACATACAAACTCAAATATATATATATATATATATATATATACATATATATATATATATATATATCAGTGTAAATGTATTTATTTTTTATTATTATAATTTTTAAATTATTTTTTGATTCTTCTGAAAATTTTCTGGAGTAATTATTTAGTATTCAAGATGGAAAATATTGAAAACAATTGAGTTACCACTGTATTATTATCATATTTTATATTGTTGTTCCGGTTCCAACTATTGCCAACTCAGTTCTCCTCCAAGTTGTCCTAACATTAAAAACCTTAACCTAAATTATAAACCTTTTTTAATTTGATTTATAGACCTAAATATATTTTTTAATTCATATAAATATATAAATATATAAATATATAAATATATAAATATATAATTATATAAATATATAAATATATAAATATATAAATATATAAATATATATATAAATATAAGCCGATATTCTCTTAGTTAATAAAAAAAATATATTCAATGATATTAATTTATCAAATTTCCATGCAGGGTATCTGCTAGTCACCCACACATTTGTTGGCTTTGTAGCTTGTTTTTCTATATATTTCCTTTTTAATATTTTTCTATTAAACATAAGCAGTTCAAATTGACATTTGGTCGTAGTGAGCGGCTCTCTTTAGAGACTTAGTCAGAAACTTGAAAAGAAATCTGTTTGAATTTTGCTATTTAAGTTATTGATAAAAATGTGCACAAGTGGAAACCTGTCTCTCGTACTATTTCTTTCTCGTTTTCTTTCTAACTCCGTCTCTAGGCGTGCAGTTTGTTTTAAGCGTTCGAGATGCACTCATAAGCGCTGCCAAGTGGAAGAGTTTGTGTGCTGTCTGCTCTATTAATATGCAAATGGCGCATATAAGTATGCTACGAAATGCACGATAAATCTTTAAAATCAAAGGCGAGCCCATAACGGCGTGTGCCTGTATGTGTGTGTGTGTGTATTTGTTCTAGTGTGTGTGCGTGTGAATTGAAACGTAAGGCGTGGTGCGGAGAGCTGCATCTTGCGCAAAAACTTGGCAAATTCAAAGTGAAAGTTGAATAGAGGCATGTGTGCATGTGAGCATGTATGTGTGTGTGTGTGTGTGTTTGTGCACTGCTATTTGTGTGCAGTGAGGCACTTGTGCGTGTGCAGCGATTGCTGCAACTTGACGCCATCTCAACAACTGCTATCTGCTGCTCTAGGGCAGTGTTTGTGCTCCCTAAACGGCTTTTTGGCGCAAAATTTATGCATGTCTGCTGCAATTTTTGAGTGTGTGCGAGTGTGTGTATAAGTGTGTGTGTGTGTGCGTCTTTTGAGTGCACTTTGCCAATAATGCGCACAATTTAAGTTGAAGCAAGCACGCCCATTGCAATTGCAGCTGCCTGCTGCTCGTTAGATCAGCGAGACAAATTCAACTCGCATTCAAAACTTGGCCAGAAGTTCAGGTGATCGAAAAAAGGAAATCCAGAATTTTTTTGTTAACATAATTTATGGGTAGACGCTGAGCAAATCAAACATTTTCACAAATTGTATGCGTGGCAGACAGCACACTCACTCTATTTTATCCACAAAAACAGACTTAAATACACACACACATACACACTCACTTTCGCACCCACACATAGTCGCGCAGGTAACACATTCATTTCCGGTTTTGAGCTCATGAATAAATGAATTTATATCGACTGTGGATGGCAGTTGAACTGCAGCGCATACTTTGCAGCGCTTATCCTGGCATATAGCTGCCCCCGTATACTGCTCAGTTTCACATTCTCTCGTTGCAGCTCTTGTGATTCTAGCTTGAAACTTGTCTGTGCCTCACGAATCGAATTGGATTTGAGTTTGGATATTCGATACGCAATGCTGCTTAACGCTGAGCCTCGAAGCTCTGGCCATCGTTGTGCACAAATGCGTTTATAAACACAGCCAAATAGAGTCGAGTAGAGGCTTATTAGACGCCAGGCATATGCCATTGAGCCCGGTTAAGGCTATGAATAAACAAGTGGGCTCTTGCAGCCAGCAGTCAAGTCCAACGACTTTCAGCTTTATCAAAGTGCATATATTCGTGTTATTTATTAAGGTGACTCAACAAAGCTATTCTAACAGGGCTCATCAGCAATTCAAAGTGCTTTTCGAAGATTTTAAGCAATAATTAATATCAATGTTTTAGAGCTAGATTAAATGAACTTTCTGTTATCTTGAAAATAGGTCTTTATTATTTAACTGAAAGTCATTATAAAATTGAGCTTATTAAAACGAACAACGTCAGATTTCATTAAAGAGCTTGATGAACAACATAGAATATTTTTAATCTCAATCTATAAATCAAATAAAAAGAACTCTGAAAAAGGCAACTAATTTGATTGAACTCGAGTTCAAGTGGCAAATGGCAGACAACTCTTGACAAATGCTGCTCCACAGATCCATTTAATATCTGATGTGCCACACCTCAGCGCCAGCACCACGCCCACATTGTGTAGTAATGTGGGCGTTAAATGGTACTGATAAAGTGCCACTCGTTGCAATTTCAGTGTGCGCAAAAAACTTTGCCAAGTTAATTTATGCACAATATCAAAAGCGCATTTCGAGAGGGCGATTGTGAAATGCCAAGTGGTAATGGTGGTAGTTGGGGGTGGAATTAAAAGAGAATATATATTATATACCAGATAGTATATAGAGTATTTGCGTGCACTCTCATTCAATTGAGTGGCGTTCGTAGATAGCTAAGCGAGAGATTTTATTCTTTGTGCCAACGCCGGCAATTTTTGTGATATGAAAATCAGCAGTTTTGCCTTTGAATTGCCGAGCTCATTCGCACAGTTGTCCCACAGTCTATTCTGGCTTTTGTGCATTTTGGCAACTGTTGACAGTCTAGCCGAGCAGCCGCGTCTTGGCTTTTAATACTCATCTTTGTAAATTTGGGATTTTTATCGCAATTTAAAATTTGAAGCGTTCTGTTGAAAATAAATGAAACATTTAATGCTACCATTTAATGATTGCAGCTCGTTGTACAACAAATTGAACAGGAAATTTTAAACTGTTGCACATCAATATGATAACGACACAGACACACAGCGACGCACACGCAAAAAAAAAACAATATTAATGTGTCGCATTATGCATACGCCGCGAACGCGGCAAACACAAGAAAAAAGTCTGTTTTCTTTTTTATTCAACAAACGCGTTGGCATTTTAATATGTGCGTTAAAAAGTTTGTGTCCTGGTGTTGGCGGGACGAATTCGTATGTGGTTTATAGGTTTTTAATAACACTTTTTATACGTGTGCCAGCCGCAGTGCACAACAAATCCTCAACTTAAATGCTTCACTTTCAGCCCGACCCGTTGGCCGCTGCCCTAAAGCAATAAGCCAAAGTATGTCAAGCATTTAATGGCAAGTCATATAAATCCTAAACACGGCATATTTACACAAAGATTAAGCAAGTTTTATTTTCATAAAGAGCTTGATGTCAAACGAGTACAGCAGCAAAAGCAACCGAAGATGTTCCCAAAAACAGTTTTGTTGGAATTTTCACCCTTGTAACATGAGAAAATTACGCCAAAAAAGATGAAAAATGCTTATGTTAAGAAATCTTAAAATAAAGTTTATATACATTATACGATATCCTAGAAAAATATTTTACTTTGAGATTTCTTACCAATTTATTTAATTCCAATTCCACAATTAAAAAACTAAATGACTGAAATACTAAATACTAAATAGATACTAAAAACTAAATGATAAATACTATTATTATTTAATTTATTTATTATTATTATTATTATTATTTTTTTGATTGTTGATGTTTTGATTGAGATTTGATTGCAAATTATAAAAATGTTAATTACGTAATTTAAGTTTAAATGTCTGCAACAATTTGTACTCCTCTTTATTTTTTTTTTTTTGGTTTATTGTATTTTTGTATATAAATAAAAATTTCCTTGGGTAT